ACTGGCTTCACAAATAACTGTCTATTTTTCAACTTTTACGTTTAATTAAATTATAACATTATTGGTACTTCAATATTGTCCGGTGCAATTCATGTGTAACTTTTTTTGTACTTCAATACCTTCCTGCGCAATTGCCGCACATATAACTCTTTATTTTCCACATATCAGAATCATCAATTTTCTAGTAAATTGCTAAGAGCTTTATTGAACTTTTGATGTATTTAACTAAATCGAAATTTTAACTAGTAGTTTACATTAAAAACACTAATGATAGTTAGTTCATAACTCATTACAATATACTTGGGGGATATGCCGGATATGGAAGCTTTAATGATTTGTACATTTTAGTTATTACTATAGGTATCTAAAATCTAAATCAATAAAAATGTTTTAGTTTTAAAAATTAACCGAGAATACCAAAATATTTACATCTGTTTTATATTGATGTAAAACTATTTTTAAGTACTAATATCCATAATTTATACATTTTAATAACTCAGAAACTAGTAACTACTCGTTCAGATTTTGATTTATATAGACCAAAATGTTCAAAAAAATCATCTGTTTAAAAATTTACAGTAAACAAAGTAGGTTTTACCTAATTAATTATATTTGAAAAAAAGTAGTTTGAATCGTTACAGGACTGCGAAATGGTATATAAATCTAAAATAATTAGAAATTAAAAACTTAGTCTAAAATGTTTGAAATATTATTAGAAAATGTATATTATTAAGAATTTTTCAGCTTAATGAGCTATTAGACATTAGTAGATAATTTTGAAGATAATTGAATCGGCAGACCAACGAAAAGACAATAAGGGAGGATAAGTCCAACATTTTCAATCCCCATATACAATTGTTATGAAGCTACGGAAAAAAAATTCTAAAAACTTACCAAACATTTTATTGAAGGTAACAAATTACTGAATATCTGTCTTACAAAATTAATCTATTTAAAAACTAATATTTTACTTTTTCAAAAGAAAAAAAACTCCCAAAAGTTTTCAAAAGTGGAAGAAAAAACAAACAAAAAATTAAGGAAAAATGGGAATTTTTACGGAAACTTGATTTTCGACAAAATCGATTCTGGTTTTTAATGTAGCTCTATTAAAAAATATCGCAGATACATGAATTTTCACTAAATGTTTATATTTGTGATTTACCTTAAAAAACTTAAAATACCTTAAAATACTTTGAAAAGTGTTAAACTATAGGTGTATGAAAATTTCGATTATTATTTGTTTGTTTATGATAATGTCGATAAAAAACTTTCTCTCCATCAAAAAACATGAAAATGTAAAAATTAAAATTAAAATACAAAGTTATTTTTTATGAGCGTTTGAATTTAGAATTTTCACAAAATTCGTAAAAATCACTAAAACTTTTCTTTTTATATCAAAGATTTTACAATTCAATACAAGATTCCTTATAATTTTGTCTTATCAAAAAAAAAATTCTACCGAAAAGTCAAATTACATTTTTAGGATTGTTTGAAGTTGAAATATTTACAACATTAGATACTCACTCTATTTCTTATATTGCGATTTTCTTATTTTGTTGTAATTCAAAAACAAATAACTTGAAGATACTTAAAATGTACATCATATTTATATATTATCAATTCATATACTTGATAAAATTTTCAAAATATTTTGACTCATTTTGAACTGTTCAAGAACATTTTTAATTTTCTAATTTTTTTTTCTTTAATTGTCAATCAAATTTTATTTGTTGGGTCTAATACAAGGGTTCCTAGCTGATAAATATTAACAATATCAGATGAAAAATATTAAAAATATATAGACGCAATTTTGTTTATATGCATTTAAAGTTCAAAGTTTGACCAAATTCATATTCAAAATGTACAAATAATTTTATAGTTTAAAATGATTGAAATTTTCATCTTTTATAGCGCAAAATTCCACTCAAATAGGTTATTCTGTAACCAAAAAATCTTGAAATATATAATCATAGTTTTTTTTTTGTTCAAATGTGAACGAAATTACATATTAAATAACCAATAATAATGGTCTATGTTATTTGGTTGTAAATTAAAAATATTATTCATGGAAACTTGAAACTTTTAAAGTACATTATTATATTTGTTATTGCAATGACCCTTCAAATGCTTTTTTTTGGCAAAAATGAATTTAATTTAATGCGTAGCACTAATGGTTACTAGTAAAATAAATTACTTACGAGTAAAACACAATAATATCATCAAATATACTAAATTACTAAGTAATATTATCAAATGCCAGACCGTTTTCTCTCAGAATCAATTTTCGTGTACAAATGTACAATGATTTTATAGGATGGAATTCAAATTTAACACCATCTATTACAGTAACCCACTATTGTAACCTACTGCAAAGCGACATCTAATTACTCGCTCTTTTATTGATGAAATGTAGTAAAATAAAGTTACAAAACCCGTCATATAAATATATCATCCCTTACTCCTTAGTGTGCTATTACATACGTGTTTGAGCTAATAGTTTTTCGACAATTTTATGGATTTTATGATTACAGACAGGATCACGTATAATTTGTGCTTTTGTATACAGTTACATGATTTTTGTTTGTTTTTTATTATAAATCAATGCCTGATTTTTAATTTCAGTATAAATTAATCCATACAATAATTTAACTCGAGTATCTATTTATTTTGTTGATTAACCCATATAAATTAGGTTGCACTTATAATTTATATTCATAATACATAAATGTATTATAATCAATGGACACTGCCTTACTGTATGCTGTTCTTTTAAATAAAAAAAATATGGAAGATATACACTGGTTTTAGATCACTGGTCAGTACAATAAACATCAATGTAAAATATACCGAAAATCAACTGTCCTTTAACTCAGATTATACATTTATACATCAAATATATATGTATACTTACAGGGTCCGTCAAAGTGATCCCCGTATTTAGAGATGGCAGTGAACACAGTCCTTATAGGTTTACATCGAGAGCATTTTTGCCTTTTGGTAGGTTATAAGAATTCTCCAAAAACATGTATAATATACTAAGAGTAAAAATGTGTCACATACTGAAAATATACGTAGTTTAAACGTAAAACAGGTGTTATATCTTATTTTTTATCAATAGTATCCAAATTATATACCAATTATTCGCCAAAAATACTTCACCTTTAAACGAAAAATCATCAAATATTTTATTCTTAAATTTATTCCCAATAAATACCAGTGGTATACATGTAAAATATACAGATTATTTATACGCGTTAAGTACGATTAATCTTGTTGAAAAACTTATCTTTCGAACTGCAGGTGGCACAAGTAAATTATCTTATAAAACAATGAATTCCTCCGTACAAAACACGTAATTCGGTATTCATAACTACTTATATAATTAAACGTTTAATATTCGTATATTATAAATGTATATGTTTACTGTGTAATGCCTGGATTATTGATACGATTCTCTTATTCGAGGAACTATTGGCAGGTTTTGGTTGCTCCGAAGTATTTTTGATAAAATATGTATTTATGTATTTACCTATTGAATTAACTACTAGGTATTCAATATGTTAAAAAAAATACAATACAATTTTAATAGTATTTTGGCATTTTATTTGTCTTTGCGTATATATAATATATATATTATATATATATATATTATCTTATAATAATATATATAATATCTTTATATATTATGGACCTTTATTGCGCATTTAAGTCCTCATTTTTTTTTTTATAACATTTTAGATCTCTAAAAAAAAACTAAAATAAAGAGAATTTGAAAATTTGAACTTCTACAAATTTGTCCGTTGTACCAACGATAGCCAGCGCACATATTTTCGGGTTTTGCTATGGAAGTCATTTTTATTCCGACTTCTCTTATTTCCACCAAAAAAATGTATATACCGAATTTTTTCTGATGTCAGAGTTAGTTGCGTGCAGGCACGTAGCCGGGTTTTTGTTCATATAAGATGGACCTGCAATATTTTTTCTACTTTTGGTATACACTCCACCACTCTTTCCATACTCACATAAATGATACATCGCCGAAATGTCGACTGATAAAATACATACAGTGGTCTAACTATATCACAGCATTTAAATCATAGAACAATATAGAAGCGAAACTCGATCAGCTGATGGGAGTTTTGTTTCCCTATAATCTGAAGTCTGAACCTCCGAAAAACATGGAAACGTTTCCCTTATCAACATGATGTTAGACCCAAAGTCACCCGTATTATCAAAACGTTTCCGCCACATAGGCGGGGTATGCTGTGCGGGGTTGGCTTGTTTCCCGTAGGCCGTAACCACGTTTTGTGTGCTATCGTTTACTTTTGCAAATTTTGCTTACACTGGTCCCCAGTTTTTTATTCAACAATTATTAGAAAATACGATTTTTGTTTACATTTTCATTGAATAAATTAAATATATTCTTACAAAATTTCCAATGTGTTTGTTCTTTATGCCTAGTATTTTATCCCAAATCCAATTACCTATTATCGCATATTCACATTAGTCATTAATTTAAGTATTATAATATTTTTTCATTAGAGTTATTACTTACATTAAATTGAAATACATAAACATTAAAATGGTAAAATTAATAAGACTACATTTTTGTACAAAATGGTACAAAAAATATTGTTGTATGGTGATAACATTGATATGATATGTTTAATTGATAATGTATGCCACGCCCCCCCTGGAGACCGTGTTCAAGGCCATAATCGCCTGATTCGGCCAACGCACGGAGTTTCGTACCCTGTTTAAATCTAAGATCATAACATATACTAGTAAATACAAAATAGTACCCAGTATATGATCTAAGCTTCAAATTATGCACTAACACACATATACATGAGAAGTACGATAAATCATGGAAGAAATAACACGAAACGGTAACACATATCACGTGATACTATGACCATAGAGACTATGTGAGGTTATGTTTTTGGAATTTAATCTTTTTGTGATTGCGTCAGGATTCAGGAGTACTCCTCAGGTATTAATTTTATTTAATATACTTTTATTTTTACTACTATGTTTGGTCGATTTTATTTTGTATAAATAATAAAAGATTTTTCATTTCTAGTCTTATAATAATATACGATTAAAACCTCTAATTTATTTTTTCATTTTAAATAGGTATGTAGTCTGATGTGGATTACGAATCTGTTAACATTAAATCGAAGTCAAATTTTAATATTATGTTTCTGTTGTTAGATTAAAATGCCGTTGTCGTGTCGGTTTTATGCCGAACGTTATCCAGAAATTGACGATGTCGTCATGGTCAACGTTCGTAGTATTGAAGAGATGGGTGCTTATGTACATCTTCTGGAATACAACAATATTGAGGGTATGATATTGTTATCAGAATTGTCCAGAAGACGTATTCGTTCCATTAACAAATTGATTCGCATCGGAAAGACTGAACCTGTAGTTGTTATTCGTGTAGACAAAGAAAAAGGTACAATATTATTTTGAAACATTTTACTTCTTTATACAGCTGTCTAATACTGGTATGTATATATATATATATATTATAGGTTATATTGATTTGAGTAAAAGAAGAGTTTCTCCTGAAGATATAGAAAAGTGTACCGAAAGATTTGCTAAAGCAAAAGCTGTTAATTCAATTTTGCGGCACGTTGCAGAACTTTTAAACTTTGAATCTGATGCTCAATTTGAAGAGCTATACCATAAAACAGCTTGGTTTTATGAGGAAAGAACTAAGAAGAAGTCATCAGCTTATGATTTTTTCAAACAAGCTGTTCAGTAAGTTTTTTCTGTACCTATATTTTTTAAGACTTAGCGCATTATTATTATTTATTATACAGAGTGATTCACTAAATGTGCCACCCTTTTTCTTCAATGGTGAAAATATGATTTTTGGAATTTTTTATTCCTATACTTAATGAACTATAACAACTGTTTGTACTATTTAAGAAGTGTCCTGTGGAACATAAACTTCTTTTTTAAAACAAGAACCCCTCTTATCTTCTGTAAATTATTTAGTGTATACCTAATTATTTTTCTGAATATTTTTTTTCATATCTACATCAAAATTTAAACAAGTTATCTTTCGAGTTCTTCAACTAAAAATATGAGGTCTATTATTGTGATGTGGAAATTAGCATATTTTATCACTATTTTGTGAAGTATATAAAAGCAGTTTCTCCCAATTTTTTTTAGAAGTTTAATTACTTTAATTACATTTCTGTTTTTATTGTTATTTATTTTTATTTTTCTTTCATTGAGTATAAGTAATTATTAGCAACATTTTAATTATTTTAGAGATCCATCTATATTAGCTGAATGTGGGTTAGACGAGAACACTCAAAATGTATTGCTTAATAATATTAAACGAAAATTGACTTCTCAAGCTGTAAAAATAAGAGCTGACATTGAAGTTGCATGTTATGGATATGAAGGGATTGATGCTGTTAAGACAGCTTTAAAAGCTGGTCTTGCTTGTTCCACAGAGGAACTTCCAATCAAAATCAATCTAATTGCCCCACCATTATATGGTAAATATTTATTTGTCATTCATACATAACTAAACTAATAATTACAAAATTGATGTATACTTATTCAACCAAAGTTGATATTTTGTTTTTTATTTTAATCAATTTTATGAATGTACCTACAAAATCTTATTTTCTGACACTTACTTTTGAATTCATTATTAATATGTTATAAATAATTGGAACTTGAAAAAACAAAAATTAATTTGTATAATATAATTAATTTTTGTTTATTTAGTAATGACAACTGCCACACCTGAAAAAACTGACGGTTTAAAAGCATTGCAAACTGCTATTGAAGAGATTGATAAAACTATTCAAACTCTTGGTGGTGTATTCAAAATCCAAATGCCGGTAAAGAAAATAATAATATGTATTTTAAATAATTAGACTAAACATTCAAATACTACCGTTTAGGCACAAATTATTACAAAAATATTTTTTCTTCTATTAGTTTCACTGTGTCCTATTATTTTCAAATTTAAAAAATACATTATTCTCTGTTCATTTGTATAATCCGTAAACATTTTAAAATAAAATTAATTTTATTAATTTTAATAATTTTAAATTTTAGCCGAAAGTGGTTACGGCTAGTGATGAAGCTGATTTGGTGAGACAAATGGAGAAAGCTGAATTGGAAAATGCCGAAATTGCTGGTGATGATGACGAAGAAGATGAAGAAGGTATGCAAAATGGTGATGTGGATGTTGACGATCAAGGAGGCGAAGAGAACGAAGAAGAATAAAAATCTATTTAATATTGATTGATAATTGAAATATCTATTTGAAATAATATATTAAAAATAGGATTTTATGAATTTATTTATACTGTATTTATTACCTTCCCAGTAAATTTAGGTATTTGGTTACTGATATTTTTGAAATCGCAAGTTAACTATGAATCCTTAATTTTTTATTGAACTTTATATTTAAATTTGTGGTATATTAATTATTAAAGTTATTTTTTATTTCATCAACTGGTGTTCCTAACTTCTATAATATAATAAAAAATAATATAAATATAAATAATTTCAACAAGTTTTTACTTTTTTAAAATTTGTAAGAGGACTCTACACCCACGTATGTTGTCTCCGTCTTAAAAATCTACAACATATCAAACAGTTTTGCGCAAAATAGAACCACTCAAGCTGTAGTCCAAGCTAAGCAACCAAATGTTCACACTTTAAACAAAAAAACATTTACTGTGCAACATCGTTTTAATTTTTGCATTAACATAAATACAAAAATTTCTTATTGTTTAAAAATTTCAAACTTGAATAATATTTTTTGTATTTGTTATATCGAAAAAATAAAAACAATGTTGCTCAGTAAATGTTCTCTTGTTTATAGTATCAAAATTTAGTTGCTTAGTTTGGACTACAGCTGGAGTGGTTTTCTTTCGTGCAAAACAGTTTTTGATATGTTGACGTTTGTAAGAAGGAGACAACACATGCCGGTGTAGCGTCCTCTTAATTATCAAAATATATATTACATATTTTATAAAACTTGTACACACAATATTATTAGAATAATATTTTGATAACAATATAGAGTTAGGTATTAAGACTTAAAAAATTGAATACATTTTCATGAAATTCTAGTCTTATGGTACCTATTTACTAATTATTTTTTTACTATCTGATACATGCATTCTTTAATTGAATTTTATAAAAATGATTGGTACATAATATACTATAGAATATAGATCAGTGGTACTCGCCAAATAAAAGCTCTCGGATGAACTTTATCTGCCCGCAGAAAAGAAATTTTTTTTAATGGTACTTACATTGTAAGTATATATACAGATATACTGACTATTTGAATACATAATTTGTAGAAGTTATTCAATTTAACCTTCAGTAGGTCGCGCGGGTTATGAGTATCTATTCTGTCGTGTGGGGTAAACATTTTCCTTGATTAAACATAATACATTTTTCTTTAATATTTATTTATTTTAAATTTAATTTTTATTGTATAGAACGAAAATAGAATACGAAATATAATCAATACTTTAAATTTACATTTGTTTTATTATTTCATTCCAATCAACGCTTTTATTTCTTTGTGGTTGGTATCCGATGCATCACGTTCGCGACAATAAATTGCACGTGCCTTTGATATAATATTAATATATATAATAGTGCAATTTACTATTGTATCCAACATGGGCTTGGTAAAAAACACTTACCAACATTCAAGAACATTTGTTTTGTTTCTAATAATTGATGAAACGGCCGATTTTTCGGTAACATAATTTTTTTTGGACATGCGAACTCTCTGGTTTGGGGCACGTTTATTCCACCTAGTTCCATCTTTACCGACGTAGTGTGGCAATATTCTCATGTTAAGTGGTAACTCGTCACCTAATTCATGGTAATTATCATCATTTGGAATCGCATTATCTACAAAATGATTCTGTCTGTTCTGAGTTTCTCCATCAGAAATATCGAATTGTTCAGTAGGTTAAGATCTTCTTCGTCACTTGATTTTCCTCCTCAAATATCGTCATTATCATCAAAATCATCAATGAGAACGCTTCAATTCGTCGACGTTCTAATTCATCCATTTCCAAATATAATATAATAGTACGCGGGGGAAAAAATACATATTTCGTCGCGTGGGGTAAAAATATGCCAAACTACTTAATACACTCGAACTTCTAACACAGGTATTGAGCGTACTAACTACTAACTACTAACGTCTAACAGATAAAACATTGAAGATTGAACAAACTTAATCTAATCCACGATCACTATCTATAATCGTGATCTAGTCTAATAATGACGTATAAATAGAAGCTAGATAAAATCCCAACACTCTTATACCAACCTAAATAATATTAAAACATCGATTAAAATTAGTGGGGTAAAAAATTACCTCGCTCGACCTACTAAAAATTATTGAATCATTTGACAATAATGATTTATCTATTAATGGGCTGTCAAAAAAATTATCTAATTCTCCATTAAAAGCTCCTTTTCCTGATGTTCTTATAATTTTAAGAATCTTTGCTTGTATGCCTTGGGGCTTGGACCAATGCGAGTGGTGAACGATCATTTTAAGTGCTTCGACGCGTTAAAAATTATTTAAGAATTTAAGATCCACCTTTCCACCTTATCTCAAGATAAAACATCTTCCTTTTCATTACTGTCTATAAAAAATGAGATACTTAAAAGGATTGATTGGTCAACTGTTATAAAAGAGTTTGTGAATAAAAGAATAAGAAAAAAAATATTTTAATTAATATTGTACAATATTTGTAATTTAAATTGTTTTATATAATTATATACAATACATACATATAATATGCAATAATATTTTATTATTAATAAAGATAAGATTTTGTATTAAAAGTCAATGTTTATTACATAATCACTCCATAAATAACTTAAAATGTAGGAGTTACTTATTATTTATTAGTTATTGAAATATAAATATTTTACATTATACAGCTTCTCCAATTTTCAGTTTTATTAAAAAGAAAGGATTATTGTTTCAAATAGATAATAATGACTAATTAGTATAATAATATTTGTATGTAGCTATGTAGGTATAATATTTTATGATGTGTAATTGACTAACCAAAATTCCGAGGGCAGCGAGGACATTTTTTTAAATATTTCATACTTTCATAAAATACACCAGGGGCGCAAAATAATTTTTCCCCCCACATATTAACCCTTAATGCAATAATGCGCCTCTGATTGGGTCGCGACCCATGGTTTGGGAAACGCTGCTATAGATTATGCGTAGGTAGGTAACGTAAGTGTAAGCCATCTTAATTTGGGAATAACCTGTATATATAAATCACAGAATAGTCAAGTACATAAAGGTATTTTGATTCAATATTTAATACGCTGATTGTCAAATCGAATAAATACTCTTGTTCTGTTACTCTTTACACTTTCCAGACACGCAGTGTCGGAATAAGACCAAGCATAACCCTATTGTCCAAGGCACAACATTTTTCATTACGAAAATAAATATTATGTGTACTGTATAAACTATGTAGGTATAGTTAGGTATGTTGTTCGCAGATTGTTATAAAGTTAAATAAAAATTACATACAAATTATAATATTGGAATAATAAACAGATTGTGAGATTCCTGACTAAATGTAAAACTGCAGAATTTTGTATCTGTTAGTTCACTTTCATATTATCATATCTTCATAGGTACCTATTTTTAATTTTTTGGCTGGTATAAAATACATTTGATTGCACTTCTATTCATTTTAGATATTTGTATTTAGAAAATATCCAATTATTATTAGAGTATTTGTCATATTATACACATAACAATAACTTTTCAAATTGTAGTCGATACGCATTTGATATGATCCATGTTGGTATGTTTGTACTTATTAAATTGTAGGTAGGTTAAAACTAAGTGACAAATTCATAAGTGGGTTATACACATTACACATCTCTTCACGTTTTTCTTATTATTATATTTTCTTTGATAGATTTTAAATTGTTTTTCAATAACGATTTATGTGTGTCACATTTATTTCAGTTGGTTGGCACACCGATTTTGATGGACTGTTATTCAAACTAAATAAACGTTTATTATAGTGCATTTTGTACTGAGGTATATAGGTACAACTACAAATTACAATCAACTATATTATTATATTATAGAAAATAATTTCGTGATCCTAAAATTAAATAATTATTTTTCATTTAAAATTGGTTGGTTTTATAATTATTTGTGTCATACTCTTTTACCATCACTGATGATTTGTATTTTTAAACAAAATATTATTATTTATTGGGTATATCTACTGTAAGTAACCTACCTATAATATTTCTTTAAAAAAAATCATTTTTAACATGTTAAACTAATGATGACTATGTTTTTTAAAGTATGGAGTGAGAAATGTGGTTTTATAAATAGAGTTATAAACTCGAAAAGTTTTTTTCCAAATAACTATAGATATTATTATAACGTGAAATTGGCTGAGAATAGTTAAAGAAACGTATTTATTATTATATTATATTTATTTTAAAATAAGGCCTTTCTGGTTCATTGAATAATTATGTACGCATCACGCTTACAATATTAAAAAAAAAAACTTATCCGATTAACTAGGTAGGTATAAAGATATTCACCGTTCATTTTTAAGTGATTGCCGTACATTTTAACATGATAATAAATTTAAAATGGTAGGTATGTAATATTTATGTAGGATATAACAATTCAGAATAATATTTTTTGTGGAAACAATTTATTCATTGTATATACCTATACTAAAAAAAATAAAATAATATTAAATACTATAATATACATGGACGTAGATAGGGTCCTCAAATGCATAGGGCTTGAATCCAAAAGGTTTCAAGAGCAAAACGAGTGGGAGACTTGTCTTACACTACTTACACACAATATTATTTGATCTATAATACAGTTCAAAACTATCACAAATTAAATGTAAATTAATTACATTACTCTATTAGTTTAAAAATTATGCCCAACGCCCTCCAAGTTTCAAGTTATCTGTTAATAATTTATATTATGTTTATTATTGAAAACGGTCCAGTCATTTTTGGAGGCTATATTAACTTTATTGGTGTAACCCTATTTTTCTCGTGACAAAATGAAAAAATACAAAATTTAGATTTGTATATTGGTTTTGGTGTACCTACCTACCTCAGTTCACATGCAAATTTGAGGCACATTGTGAACTAACTCGACCAAGATGGACTGTTAATTTGTGATGGATTTGTACATAGTACTTGGTATAAAACTACCAAACTACTGGTTCAAACTACTCTTTAAATTTTCCTAATATTTCCAAGAACAATTTGAAATTTTTACAAAATCTATTTAGTATTTTTTGAGTATATAAGTATATATAATAGCTACAAATATACATTCAACAACTCTCATATTTATTTTAAGATATAATTTCTTTATTCGAACCATAACGTAACGATTTGATGAATGCTTTTACATCATCAACCATAATAAAGATTACCTATACATTAAAATATATTAAGGAGGGCTAAGCCTTTCTTCCCCCCCCCCTATTTACGTTCATGATAATAAACTGTATACATTTTTCAAAAAAAATAATACTTTAATTGTTTATTATAGGTATAGTTGATAATATTATTGACTTCAGTAAATAAGTGTTAAATCATCGCAACTGCTGTCAAATTTATGTAGCACGGTACCTACCTGGGTACTTATAGTTATTATAAAACGGTTTATTGGAAATACAAGATTAGCTACAAATGATATAATTTTAACACAATTATAATAGTAAACTGAATGGCATGAAGATGTTAGTAAGAGTAAAAAATGATGTCTAATTACGATATTGGTATCTACCTCGATGGCTCAAATGCTCTCTTAACTCTAAAAGAATGTATCAACACTGATAGGAAAAGGGGCCCAAGATATTTTAGTTTTTATATTGAATAGTAGATTAGTAGAACTTAAATATGTTTGATCCCGTAAATGCATTATATTTATATATGTGTTAAAAGTGTTAATTTCCGAGAGCGAATCACTGTGGGTCTTTTATAATATAAAAAAAGATGTCCACATTTTTCTATAATTAGAACTTATTTTTTTTTCTTCAAAAACCCACGAATGCTAAAATTTCAGTGTTACAAATCTCGGGGAGCGGGGGGAGGGGTATTTCCCCTTCACCCCAAAAAATAGTTTAGTGGTAGGCATGTCGCATGTATGTACATGGCGGATCCTACTACAGTAGCTATAGTAGCTGGTAGAAGCTACATTTACTTACATAATTAATAGGTATTGTAAATGTAGGTAATTATAATGAAATAATCAGGGCTTTACCAGTTTTCTTGTTCTAAGAAGTGTTCTTAACCAGTTACCGGTTACCTTACACCAGGATAATGTAGTGGCTACCAGTTACCGATTTTTAACGGTTTATGATATATGTAAATAACCGCTTACCGATTTTAAGTTTTAACCGGTTTAAATACCGTTTTTCACAAAATGTTTTTCGTTTTCACTTATCAATTACGAATTATTTATAATATGTTTATAATACGGACTAAGATATATCTATATAAAGTATATCTGTATGTTTTCTTAACAAGTCTTATAATGGTAACCGGGTATCATTAAATGAACGATTTTCAGAAATGTTGATGGTTGATTTTTGGTATACGACTTTATGAACTTTTGTTAATCGGTTACCGATATCCGCTTTCCATACTGCAAATAAAACCGGTAAACGGTTTAGGGTTCTTAAAATTTACGGTTTTTAACGGTTTTAAGCCCTGGAAATAATCTATAACTCTTAAGTATCTACAAATAATGCAATTGGTAGATAGAGGTATACTTATAAATTAATTTAAATCTTTCTAATCGCGCAGCGGCGCCCGCCCTCTTCCCCTTGCAAACTTGGTTATATTAATGTAGGCGGAGGACTTCTAAACATACGCTTCTGCTGCTAGATGATGCGGAAAGAGTAGATATATATAGTGTATTCGGTACTTACTTTGGTACTTCTCTTTTATATTTAACCAAATCAATTGCAATACAATATGTAGGTATATACATTAACGGGGAATATCGCCGATATCGGTCACACATGCGGGTACATCATATTATTATTATATTATATTATAATATGCACGCAGTAACGGTCACGTTGTATGGAGGTTACGCGTCAATGACCCGAACTGCGGTAATGATATTGTTATTATTATTATATAGGTACGCGTATAATACACCTATAACATACAAATAGATACACCGGGCATCGACCGGTTTTACGCGAAGTAGGAGGCTTCTGCGAACGTTTCGCGAGATCTCCGCGCAGAGATCCGTATCCATCTCTTCCGCCGTGCAGCTCCGCGGCCGCCGCCACCTCCTCCTCCTCCTCCTGCTACTGCTCATCGTCGGAGCTACGCCGTCGTCGTGGGCCAGCGGAGGAGACAGAACACTTTGTGCTTGCAGCGGTCCACCGGTCCAGTGGTCCAGTTAGCGCAGTTCCTCCGGTGTAACGTCTGCAGTGAATCTCGCCGTCACCGCGATCTGAGCACGGATCGACACGCGACGTCGAGTGTATATTACTATACATAATCCCGCCAGATCTGCGGATCTGTCCAACAGTCGCTCAGCGATCCATGTCAATCGCCGTCATCGCCGTCAGCGTCATGCGCCGACAAATGTTCTGGAGCGGTTGCTTGTTGGCGCTGACCACCGCGGTGGCAGTGACGGTCGCGGCTCCGCTGGCCGAGCCCTCAGCACCGGACTCGGACGACGTGGTGACGTACGACCAGCGGCAGAACGGCACCGAGAACGTGCGGATCAGCCTGAGCGACCTCAAAGTGGTGCTGGCCCCGGCCGACGGCCTGTTCCAGATTATGTCCATGGCCGGCGCGCAGTTTCTCAACTCGGAGTTGGCAGGCGCAGCTTCGGAACACCGGCCGACGGGCGTCGAGTGCACCGGGTTCAAGTGCAACAACCGGCATAGGCAGGCCGCTAAGAAGTCAGTGTACAGTAATTTTAACCTTATTACCTATGTTTAACCTTTAACGTGTTGCGTACCTACGCACCTGCAGCAGAACTACAATGTATAATTTTTAGAATAAATTGCGTCGTTTTGCCATCGTTCAATCGTACGTTGCGTGTATATTAATAAAATATATAATCACGGGCCACGGGTGAGTTGATAACCAATGTACCTATGCCATTTATCAGCGGTACCAATATATTATGTATATAAAATTGATAATTACGAATTGGTAGGTACATAACGGTATTACGCAAATTATGGAGCCAAAATTTTAATATTCACATGATGAATTTTGGACGTGCCTATATTATATAGTGTATACCAATATGCATAAGCATAACATTATATATACAAGGCGCCATGGTGAGATAAGTTTAACCGAATTTAGGTACCTATATTAATTTTCTTATAGCCAATTTTTGTGATCTATAACTTCTGATCATCGTGATTTTTAATTTGTATAATGTTGAAACTTGAAAGTATTAAAAATGTATGTCATCATATAATAATAAAATTCTTTACTAAACATTTAACACTTTTTGTGAACTTTCGTGAATGGTCTTGAGATATACTATCGACATGATAATAAGACGACACCAATTATAAAATAAAAACCCTAAAATTATTATATTTTATTATATTACGAAAATGACAAATAAAGCGAACCGGAAACTAGCAGAGGGAGAGATAATAGTACATTATTGGTACGTACCTTTAGAGTTAAGAGTATGCCAATTAGTGTAGTCCAATTACTCTGATTCAGTATTATATATTTATCATATAGGTAGGTTAGGTTATTAATTAGTTAGGTTATTACACATATATATTGTGTATATATATACAGGGATATACTTTTTTTAGGTGACCGTTGGTTATTTTAAAAATAAATAACTTGAAATTTTAATTTTAGAAAATTGAAGATAATTGTAATTTAACATTTTATTATCTCCTTATTCCCTTTTTCATTATTTTATATTTGTTGTTTCACTATCCACTTCCACTATATTATCAACTATTGATTTTAAACGATCAACATTGCAGTCATACCTCTTTTTAATTTAACAATAACTCAAGCAAAATCGTGAAATAAACAATTCATGAAAAACCTTGTTTTGGATTTTGAAGCTTCAACTATGTATACAAAATAAAAAATGTGTACATTTTCAACTAGAAAATAATTTGCAAATGTTTGTGGTTTTGACAAATTTTGTGAAAAATTGAACTTTAAACGCTTGTAAAAATTGTTTGACTTTATGCTATGGATAAGTGCTCTATGAAATACTGATGAGGAATTCTATATTACATTTTCAAGCTTTCTAACTCTGAAAAAAATGTTATCAACATAAATCGAAAAAAAATTTTAATAAATAGCTAAAAAGGACCAAATTATTTAAAAATTAAAATTATGTGTAGAAGTATGTTATTTAAACTTTAAGTGAAAGTCTTAACTATATATGTTCGTAACTTAATGTTGTTCATTTATAAAATACAAAAAAAAAAAAAGATCAATTTTGTAGAAAACTGTTGGTTATTTCTTAATTTTCCACCGATTTCCATTATAAATTTGACTTCTCAAATTCCCATAATACCAACAACATTCAATCTTCTATCACAACCCCCCCCCCCCCCCCCAATGTGGGCGGTTAAAACGTTTTTACTTCTCTAAAGAGTGATGACAGACACAAAAACAAATATAATTTTCAATAAAAATACACACATTGAAAATGTTATAATAGTTCCAAAAATAATTCAAATACGTTAGTTTAACAGGAATATATTACCTATTGGCTATTTGTGTACCTATATACGATGGTAATTTATATAAATCAAGATACATATAAATATTTGGTATACAGGCAAAATATATATTATAAATGTTAGGTTACGAATTTATTGTATGTTCCGAACGGCAGGCTCGTTTATATGTAAGTAATCAAAGGTTTCCGGGTAACAGGGTGTAAAATAAGTAAAATAAAATAATATTTGAACATTTTTATCATTGTTCCATATAAATCATTTGAATTTGAAACATATTAAAGCTCAAATATTTTATATTGGGTATCTTTTTTAAAATTAATTTATTAGGTACGTTTTAGTTATACGCTATTACACTTTTATATACAGTATACACATACAAAAAATGCCACTGCAGTTTAGGACAACATTGGTTGGATTCTTCAGCTTATAACATTAATATGTATCAACTACTATAATTATACCAGAATGATAAAATTAACCATTATATTTTTCCATTTCATAAATCCTAAGTATTTTAGAGAACAGTTTTATTTGTGTTGACCAATAAAATTTAAATTATTTATTTAAAATTATTTGAATAAATTATGATAACTCTAGGAGGTTCCTAAATTGAAAATTATTCTCAATTTAAGATTTTTACGAAAAAAATAATTTTTCAAATTTAAAAGTATATAATGCACATTTTGATAAAGAATAAAAATAATATGTCCTAGTTTCTCTAGAATTCACAATGCGTCAAAATACATTGTTATTATACTATAACTTTTGTGTCTATAACTATTATAATATAGTATTATACGTATAGCTTTAGAGAAAGTTAATGGATTTTTTCTTTAAATTGAAATAACTCAATCGTGATGTGATAAAAGCAAGGTTTTTCATTCATGTTACCCATGATATGTTCCTTATTATTCATTTATATATAATAATACGTAACCTATTTCTTTGCCATTACTTAAAAGTTATTATAATACTAAATTTAGTCCATTACTTCGCATAACTGTTAACTATAGTCACCATAGGTATTAGGTATACACCGACATATCCTAAATGTAGACTATATAGTATACATGGTATAATGTTACAGGTACACTTAAAACGTTTATAAAAAATTTTAATTATTTTAATAATTTATTAATTTTATTTATTTTTAGAAATCGTTTCAAACTATCGAGTCTTATAGCACCATTGTTAAACAGCCAAGCAGAACAGAAAACTGCAGAAACAGAAAGTATTAGTATCAACAACAATAATCCTAATTAAACATTGAGTAGGTATGAAATACTGTTTACAATATCGGCTCAAAGAGGTACAATTTATATCAATACCAGGACGAATAAAATTATACCTATTACTTATATAAAGGTGCGGCTTAATAGATTTTTAAAACCTAAAATGTTGTTGTTCGTTATTATAGAATATTTAATAATTTCAGTATTTGTACTTAGCATTAAAAATATAAATAGTAAAAAGTTTTCATAAACATTAAGTATATATTTTTTAGTTTATTAATTTATTTGTAAATTTTACTTGCATTAATAAAGGTAACTACTTACATAATACCATATTTAATGCAGTTTTGTTCAATAAAGAACTTCAAAAATTAAATGTTTTGTGCATTAAATTTAAATATAATATGTCTTACATCATAGAAGCGGAAATTGTACATTTTATTATATGTAAATAGAACATATATATTTTCATTTATTTTATTTATATTATTTTACAATGTGGACTAAATCCTAATTACACGAAAACACCATTTTATCTTATTTTTGACTGATTCTCAAAATAATTGTGTTGCATTTAGTTATAGAAAATTGATACACGTAAGTAATTGACTGATACAAGTAGAAGGAACTTTAAAGTTCATCATAGAAGGTAGTATATGACAATCAATATACCTAACGATTAGTTCGCCAAGAAAAATTAAGTTAGCAACTTCTATCAACTATTAAGTAGTCGAACCAATCTTGTTCATATCTGGATAATAATCATGAAGCTTTTCATAAAACATTGTAGCATGTCTATTTAAAAGGAAAAAAATCAACGGGTCGATGCTCTATTGTGGCATTTACTAAAAGTAGTGACAAATAAAAATTTTGAACTTATTGTTAAGTTATTTAATGGTGGTAAAGTTACTCATTTTGTAAATGCTATTAACAGTCGACATCGCTCTGCTCTATAAACTAGTTACAAAGTTATTACAGATAATACTTGGTCGGTGGCATCTAATTCATTAGAATTAGATTATTTAATTAAACAAAATGAACTATGCTCGTTTAAGGTAATTTGTATTGTGTGCAAATGGTGTGTCCATTTGTTTTCATGCACATGCTATGACTATAGTATCAAAAACGGCATGTGTAAGCTAAGCATATACACGCCGTTCGAATGAATTCAATGGTAAATAATGAAGATGTAAGTATGGATGTAATATGCTATCCCATATAAAATGATGAAGTATGTATGAAAATGCCAGCAGCATCACAGCTTACTATATCATCCACTGATTCCATTGCTAATAATATTCAGCAATTGTATAATATGTTTTTGTCACAACTCATAAGCAGGTACACTCGATGATCAACTACTCCAAAAACTAAACACAACAGTAGATTCAAGTTTAAAAGTTCTATGTTAACAAGATAGCAATTTTATAAAAAATCTAGACCCTCGTGTCAATAAACAATAAATATTATGTTTTAATCAATTATTATTATAGTGACATTTTGTCGGTTCAGGCGTAGCGGACCACGACAACCGACCAACTAAACATTTTTATTTTTTTTATAATAATAATTTATCTATTCATAACTTCAAGTGAAATCAGAAATACCTACATGATCGCAGAGACAAGATACTAGAGCTACTGCTACTTACAAGTTGTAATTTTAGGAAATTTTTAATAAAGATTAGAAATTTTTGAGTTATTTTCTTGGTATAGTAAATTATCGTGGTACATAATATTATTTTCAATTTTGTGATTGTTCACCACCACATTTTTCGTGTTATTGACAATAGTAGTGCGTCCCTGATCCATTTTTGGGATAGTAAAGGCAAATTTGAAATTATATGAAATGTACCTTACAACTTATGTTTAATGTAAATTGATTTAATAAAATAGGTATAAAAAATTAAACAGGGTGTCCCGTGAGGATTTACCGATCACTATAACTCTTGAAATAATACTTTTTAATGAAAACCCTAGGGACCTAGGGTACAAAAGCTATAAATATTTTGGTTTTATTTATTTTAATGTTTTTTTTAAAAAAGTTAAAAAAATATATATTTTTATTCAATTCTTCTCAAAAAAATTGAAGTTGGTCATTTTGAGGAGTTAATTTTTCTGAAAATATTGACTTTTCAACATTTTATTTTCATTTATCTCCTGATTTTTAATATTTTTCTAATTTCGAGAAAAATAGCAAATTATTCAATACCAGTGGTATCAAACATGTGGTCCGCGTGCTCAAACGGCCGGTGAATGGCTTTCAGTATGGTCTGTAATTTTCTTGAAACTAGAAAGAAATATTAAAAATAAGGAGATTAATGAAAATAAAATGCTAAAAACTAAATATTTTCAAATTTCAGCTAACAACAAAATATCATTGAATGGTGGAGACGTGAATACAGGATACTATTGCTGTAGATTTTAAAAAAAATAAAGAGGCAATCGGATGTAAAATGAGGTAAAAGTGTGCATAAAATCGTCGCATTTATGGCCCCGAATATGAAGAAACTATATTATTTAAAAAAACAATAAATACGAGTTTATGTTAAAAGCATTTTTTGCTGGCAACAAAAAGAATGGCTGAACCAAATCTGAAATCAGCTAATCTTTTTTAAATGTTTGTAATATTCTGATTTCTAAATTAAGTTTTCACAAATTAAAAAAAAATTGAAAAAGTTGCTAGGACCTTTTTTTCATTGGAGATTTTCGATAAAGCTAAAAGTCGAGTTTTTTCTTTTTAAATAGTAGCCAGATTACATATAATATGTTTGTTATTATGATTGGATACAATAATTTTGATATTTGGTCACTATAAAGGTACTTTTACCTTTACCGGTCTTTGCCTCTCCGAAGTTAATAGACTTATGGTATAATCACGGAACATATGGTTTAACATAATATTTATACTTTATAAGTTCAAACTTGTTATCACATTACTTTAGCTGTTATCTCACATATTTGTTTGTATATTCGTTGTGTTCTAGAAGTTTCCAATAATCCATGTTCAATCGCTGTAGTGTGTTTGTTCTTATTTGTTACTTTAATTTAAGTCAACAAATGTAAATATATTCTTACAAATAAGTGCTTAGAAGGCTGTGATTTTAGTTTTTCCTCTTCTAATCAACATAGTAATTATCGGTTGCGACCGAAGAAAAAGCTGCTTCCCTTTGATTAAACTACGTACTAAATATTGTAAGAATTCAATTATCACCTTAAGGTATGTTTACATGTATATAATACGAAGACCGACTTTAAAAATTCCATTATATAGTTATAATTAGTTATAAAACATGTGTAATATGTGGTATTTACTAAAATAAAAATTCAACCTTCCACTAATACATAAGCAGTTCATTTATATTTAGGGTACTTATTGCATTAAAAATAAATACTGCAACAAGACATTTTCAAAAAAAAATTGTACATCAAGTACTATGCCTTGTATCACAAAAATGAATAGTAACTTTTTTTTTAAACATCTTGTGTATATAATATTGGCGGCACATGTGTGTATATTTTTCTTAACCTTACGCACATGTAATAATGTAGTTAAAACTTCTTCTTAGCATTGTTTATATAATTATAATTAGCAGGGAAATTCAAATAATTAAATAGGTACAGACAACTTTAATAATTACCAAAATATTTAAAAAAAGTTTCAGAAAAAACAAAAATATTCATTATATCTTATAAAGATGGCATAATAATTTCAATAATTTAATCACATCGATGAATGAGTGAAACACAGAAAGAGGTTTTTACTATACTTAAGTTAGTATGACAAAACCTTTTTTTACTGATCCACTTTAAAAAATCTGAGTTGCAATTCTCAATATATTATTTGCATTTTTTGTTTTTTTCCCTAAACAAAAAAATACCGTAGTAGTTAATTGATTTATATAAATCAGTTTAATGTTTTCAACTGACATTGTAATACCTAAATAAATATCCCAAATTAATTTTATTATAATAGATTTTCAACCATTATCCTCTGACTATAATTTAGTAATATGTTATTTTATTAAATCATTTTGTTGAGTAATTAATTGTTAATTATTATTTTGATTTTAGTATTTACAATGGCTTCTTGTCTGGATGAAGAAAATAAAGTTATCATCAAAAAGGATTGGTACCAAACAGAGTCTCAAGTGATTGTTAGCATTTTGGGTAAACATACTTCAGAAGAAGACTGTTGCGTAATATTTAACGATGATGAAGTAACCATCCAAGCCAAATTTGCCACTGGTCAACCCTACACTCTTCAATTAAAACTTAGTAAACATATTGTACCCAACTTTAGTACCTATAGAGTTCTCTCGTCAAAATTGGAGCTACGCCTTGCAAAGATTGAAGGAGGAATGTGGGATGTACTAGAGAGAACTGTAGTCAAAAAAACTAAATCCTCCAGTATCCAGCCTCGCAATTGGGATAAGGTTGTCAAAGATATGACAAAAGAAGAAGAAGACAGTGATGTTAATACTCTGTTTAAGAAAATATATTCGGATGGTTCGGATGAAGTGCGCAAGGCTATGAACAAATCATTTATGGAATCTGGGGGCACCGTTCTAAGTACCAACTGGAGAGATGTTGCAAAGGACAAAGTAGATATTAAACCTCCAGAAGGGATGGAGTGGAAGAAATGGGACGAATAAACAAACCTGTACATACTATTACGTTAATTAAGTGTTTGACTTTCTCTGAAAATTATATAATAAAAAAATGTTTTTTTAAATTATACACACTTTTTGCAAATCTTTATTGTATTATATACACATTATGATATCGCTTTTTCAAGTGATTATGTGAACAAATAATCATGTTTTAATTTTTTAATCTTATTAATCTTTATAGTCCTTTTTTTTCTTTAACAAATTATTTGGAATTAAACATAGATGACAATTCAAGACATTTGTTACTTATTGTATGTTAGTTTGATCCTATACAATTAAATATTCTGACATTCCTAACAAAGTTAACACTAAATTTGTATCAACACTTCAGATAAAATAAGTATTTCTGTGAAAATATTGTGTTCAATAATTCAGTTATTATAAAGGCTCAAAAGTTAATGATCTAAAAATGTTAAAAAATGCACTCAAAAAAGTTTAAATGCCATAAAAATACTTATACTCTGTCCATCGAGAGAATGCGCCAGCCAAATCTGGTTCACCCCACGTATCACCCTACCATAGGTGAATCAGTTTTATGAGCGTGGTGATGCAGAGGGATGCGTCAAACCGCCGCGTTATCTAGCTAGCCACAGTATAGGTAAATGTTACATTTTTGCACTTTAAAAGTTGAATGTTTTAATTTAATTAATAAAATTTTTACATTAAATAGTAAAATAACATAAATTATATTTTTAGGAAAAAGTTTATTTATATTTCTTGGTTTTAAAAAGTATACAAGTGTTGTCAAATAAACAGTTTTAAAATTATTATTTAACAATTATAAATGATCAAACATTTTTTGGGTAAAACCAGTGACTAAAACAATATTTAAATCATATTTTCTAATACCTTACGCTTTTCTTTTTAGACAGATGAAACTAAGAATTGTTCAAAAGGTTAAATAAATTAGATACAACACATTTTGTAGAATGTGGGCTTACATAAATTAAAACAGTTATAGACATTGTATGATTTACTAACATCTTTGAAGTGAGTTATAGGATATACCAATATTTTTGAGGGTAGACGAATTGTAAATAATCCCTAAAATCCTATCCTTAACCCTGTATTTCTATTTACAATATCAAATATATATTTAATATTTATGTAATATAATTTAATACGAGTGAAACAAGTACACGTTCTTAAAGAAATAAAATTGTCAAAACTATTTTAACATTTTTGCCAGTAAATAGTTCCAGATTTTAAGGCATTGTGGTCAATTTCCCTCTTTCAATTATACCCAAATCAACAATAGTGCAATTACAATTATTTTTATTCGGTTTAGTATTTTTAACTCTTGCTGATTTGAACTAGAAATAGAATAGCTTGAAACTGGAAGGCTAAGGTTTTAGATCATTAATTTCTTGTTAAGTATTTCTTTTTTTTTTAAATAATATATCTAGTATAGCCCTCATAGGTCTTATTATTTTTTTACTATTATTGAAATAGAATATTGCAAGTTAAATTGAAACACTTAGTTTTCATGAAAAAATATTTGAACACAATTTAACTGTTTAGTTGTTTTATAAGTTATCACAAATATTATAAACAAGCTTACATTCATAGACCGTTCTGCATTTTGTTATTGCCATCGTTACCCAGTGTTCCAAGTTATTTTGACCACTTTTAATAAAGGTAATTGTATTATGATTATTGTTTCACGAATAAGTAATAACTACGTGACCTGCTCTACACAACATTAAATATACTAAAGATTAATTCATATAATGTTATAACTTATAGATAGCTGGGAACATAATAGCGAAGCACCTAATATCTAAAATAATATTATATTCCTCAATATATACTACCTTTATGTGCCTCATAAGTATGGTAGATAATTTTCATATTTATTGAGTATTTTTACAACAAAATAATCTTATTACAATAGTAAAAGGTTTTCATTCTTTTGAGAGCACACCCCAAAAAAGTTGTACTAATGGTGAAGGTTAATACAAAAAACCAAATTTACACTGGAACGACACGACACAATTAAGTCAGCATAGTAATGACAAAATTCTCATAAGTGAGGACAGATACGGACCAAAAGATTCAAGTGAAGAATGTTTTGTTGTACAGTGTCATATTTTGAATTAGGCTTTAACAAGGTTGTATTTGAGAAGGAATGCTTGGGTAATAGTGAACTACCCACAAATTGTTCACAACAAATAATTTGTCATTTATGGTGGTTTTCAAAATTTCACTTAAACGAACTAATGACTGTTTTGTATTGTGACAATAATTATTAGGGATGAGCCGATACTAGAATGAATACTTGATATTAATTTTATTTTAATGTGTAACAAACTAAGACAGACATGCGGGTTTGGTGTTACTGGTTAACAACCAACTATTACCCCATGGAGATATTTTATCAGTACATCAAATACAAATTTAACATTAAAAATGGTATACCTATTTTTAACATTTACATAATTATTCTTCATTAGTTCATGTATTTAAATATTAAACATGATGTATAAGCTTTGGTTTTATGGAGAGTATAGGTATTCACCATTCACTATTTGGTAAAATGGCATATACGCTGCAAGTATTAGTACAAATACTCAAGTATATCATAACTTTTTTTTAAATTAAGCAACCTATTTACTTATCAATCATTTATAAGTTGTAATCATGTAACAAACAATTAATATTGATTATTACCAAATATGTGTACCTATGGGTATAGTTGATCGTTGTTAGTGACCAAAAATCATGATAATTGCAATTTTTCTTTTAAAATGTCAAGTTACAGCCATCATGGAATGCATAAGAATTAACAAGATAAATGTTACAAAATATTGAATACTTAGAAAATAAATACAAATTTATATAACTAGGTAACAAAAATTTATCTGAATGTACTCAGTGAGAGTTTAGTAAAATAATTGGGCACAAACCATGAGAACAATTTTAGTAATATTGAATCTAAATAGCTGTGCACTCATAAAATTACCATATTCATTGCATACTCTTTTAATAAAATCTACAGTAAAACATATTGTTAAAAATTTATTGTATTTGGTTCATTTCAATATCCAGACGTATGTGCTAATGCATGCTGAGATGATATAATTTGAAGATTGATAGTTGTCAATTATTTGACATTTCAACTGAGTAAAGAATACCAACAGCTAGTTATATAAATTAAAAGTTAATACGCATTCAATTCAATTCTAAGTAAGGAATTTCCATAGGCATTACGTGTTAACAGATTTAGATTTACATACATCATATACATCCTAAATAGGTAATGAAGAAGACAACAATCCAATTATAATTGCAACTACATTTTTACTTACTCAAATATATTCATAAAAAGAAAACTTAATGCGAATAGAAATAAATTGAACAGAACGATTATTTCAACTTTAATATTAATGTGGTCTTTATTTAAAAAATATAAATTGAATTACACATTAGTATAAACGTTGTGGGGCTCCCATTGTTGACTTGATGTGCAGTGACCTAACATTTTGCCAATGTTTCTTCAACAACGAAACTAAGAAATTGATGGAAAGATGAATGTTGTGAGCCAATTCATCAGATTTCATGTCAACATGACCAACAGCAACACACAGACATAATACCTAAAAATCAATTCCCACAATTAATCAACTAGGTCGGCAGTAAACAAAATGTGTAAGCGAACAGGAATTGAATACCTTTTTCATTTGGAATTTAATGGTGGCTTTAACTTCATCGATTTTCATGTTCATAGATTCTTGATGGGACAAAAGACCAGGAAACTTGCCAGCTTTGTTTAAACCGGGTCCTAACAAACGTGGAATTTGTTTGATAAGAGCTTCGCTGGCTAAGAACGCATCATATCGTTTGGCCAATTTCTTAACCAACTTCTTGTTCTTGTTAAGCTTCTTCAAGGCTTCAACATCCATGAAAGGCACCTTGTTTACCTACAACACACATACACAAAATATATAACAAAATTTCAAAACGCACGAGCACTACAAATTGACACGCGGGTTTTGGGTCAGAATGACGAATGAGAATATTATTGTCCTTAATGAGAAGCAGTTAAATGTAGCACACAAGTGTTTACCTCGGCTTCGTCACAATGCTGCTGGTCACCAAGAATGCACACCTTCATCTTGGGCCTAGGGATGTGCTTCAATTTGATGGTGCCTGAGAAACGCTTGTCCTTCTGTGGGTCGTAGTTTTTGAGACCAATTTGCAATTCGACCGTTTGCAAGAAGTTTTTCTTGTGTATCTTGGCCTGGCTCAACACCTCGTTGACGGCCTCGTACAGAGTATCCTTCGATACTTTTGACGACATGTTTAGTTTGTGTACTGACGTTCACTGTGAGAAAAATTTAAAAACGATTATACAAAACGTGGACGCCACAAACCAAATTAAAAAAAAAAATGTCCGAAGTACTTACCCAAAAGACACGAGTGAGAAAATGAACGCGATAGTCTTCCGAAAAGAATTTTTAGGTTATAGTGTATCTACTCAATTTATTTGATTCTGCATCCACCAAGTCACAGCGCTTTTGGTAGCCTGGTATTGCATATAATAGGACCGTGGTTTAATAACCTTCTACCGCGGTCATTGTGGAAGGTGCACCCTCAAATGGATAAACTGATAGGGATAGTGATAACTGATGACTGATAATAATTTCCCAACAAATAAATATAACAATTAACAAAGTTAGTACTGTTAGTTACTAACTTAGTAGTTACAATAAAATTATTGTACTAAAATAATAGACTAAATAGTAATGTATACATTAATTGAATTTCAAATTGAACAAACATAAATATGAATTTTTGAATGAAAAATTCAATTCGTTGAATTTTCTAAATCCTAAACCTATAGAAATGAGATGTTCAGGTTCAACCATTTATAATCAAATTTCTTGTACACCAAAGGGTACACAATACACATAGAGCGCAGAAATAATAATATTCTTACAATGTTTGACGTGGTGTGCACTACAGTGAACGGCGGAATTCCCATATTTTACCGAAAAAATAGTAAAATGGAATCAGTGAGTGATTAAACATGACGATCATCATTTGTCATAGTCCGTTGTAATCTGTAAAATTGTATTGTGTTGATAATTTGTCTACTAACACAAAGAAACAATGAAAATTTAGATTTAAATAATTTATTTACATTGTTCAAAGACTATTTGGTTAAGAAAAATTAAAATTACTCATTCACCAAAGATATATTTACTAAAGTACATGACCTAAATCTTTTTATTTCATTTGATACTTAAACTTATAATATTGGATATATTTGGTGTGTTTAAATATTACAATAGTTTGTTCATCAATTTTTTTCATACTTAAAAGTCACCAGTATTTACTTATATATATTATATTTAAGTTCAAATTTCAAGTAGGTAGTGTTTATAGCCATTTGCTTTACAGTATTATGTATACTTTCAGGTACCATTTACTACATTTTCAACATTGAATGCTGTTATAACATTTGCAGATGTACAAAATGTCCAATTTAAAACTATTCAAACAGAAAAACATTCTTTTATTTGGCATGCCATTGGAGATAGGTATGTAATTATACTATAAACTTTATCATTATAAATTGTATAGCATTAATTATTTATTAATATTTTGTTAAATTACCTTTACAAGTATTTAGGCAACAAATTGTGTTGTATATAAGTATAAAACCAATACGTTTTGTCAGTATTTTTGTTAAACTTAATCAATTGTTTGTAGTTTAATTATGGCAGGCATTGGTGATTTGAACGATTCTACAATAAAAACTGGCCTAGAACTGATATCGACTTTAATAAAAATGATTATTGGAGATGAAAACATTTACAATAAAAATGCAGATAGAATAAAACGAGAAATAAAAGTATGCTCCAAGCCTTCAACTTAAATTTATTAACTCTGATAGGTACCTGAGCTGATTGTATTGGTTGAAATATTATGTTTAATTATATTTTAGCCATGTTTACCTATTATTGATTATATATTGAGGAGCCTAACATCAATAACAATAGAAGCAAATTTAATAAATGTGATTGAAACACAGTCAATGAAGGATAATAAAGCAATAAATGTAATTACTAACTTTAAATATTTTTTTTAATTCTGGCATATTGCACATTTTTAAACTCTGTTAATTTTGTCTACATTTTCAGAATTGTTTATGCAATTGGTCAGAAACAATCTGTAGTGATCTTTGTTGGGTTATTGTGGATAAGAAATTGAGTGCAGCAACAAAAGATTGGTGGGACTTACATATAAGCGATAGAAAATTATTAATAACAATTATTTTAGCTAATTGTTATGATCAAACTACATCTGCTGATATACCAATTTTCCTGCCTCATTCAAGTACTAAGGTAAACTAATTTACTTGTTATGTAAATTGTAATACCTATATTAATATGCAAAGCCCTCATTTTTGAGGAAACCTTAACAAAAAATTAAGTAAGCATTAGAAGTCTAGAAAGTATAAATTATTGTCTAATCATCTGTATATATTAAGTAACAACGATAAAAATTCACTGTCAAATGATTCATTGCATTAATTTCTTGTGTAAACAGACCAAAATATCTTAAAGATAATTTTCTATACAATAAGTTTTTCATGTCAAGTAATTTCAATAATTATTCTTTCTATAATTCAATAAATCCTGTGTTTCTAGGTTCTTTTAAGGCTAGTATGTTGCATGATTGTACAGGGTGTTTGGACAGCTGCTATTTGTGGACCCGTCCCAAATTTAGATGATATAGAAATTAGTGCTGCTAAAAGTTTCAGAACAGTTATCAATTATTTTCGACCTAATTCTTCTAAATTTGAATTAACATCTGGGTAAATTAATAATTATAAAATCTTCATGTTTTGATTAATAATATACTAAGTAATTTCTTAAGACTAAGTTTATACTTATTTTTCTTTTTTAGATATATCATAGTGAACACTAACATGTTCACATTTATGCAAAATTATTACTCAAATACTGATGTGCAAAGTGGAATTGTACAGTTTTACAATAAAATTGCATCACGTCTTATGAATGGTATTAATTTTAATTATTAAATAAAAATATAATATTTTTCAAATGTGCTTCATTCATTATTACTTATAATGATTTTATATTAATAAACTTTGTTTTCAAAATTTGACGTATAAATATTGTATTTCTCATGTTTAGACGATGTAACGGGAAGTGAAGTCTCATGCAAGGGGAAAAATCATAACTATTATGCTATAAATTCAAATGGTTTCACATTATGTTTAGCATATCCAAGTAAACATAATATGGTAACAATCAGGTAAATATGTCTTAAATTAATAATTTATGATTATACTGTTTACAAGTTATTTGAATTAATTCTTATAACTCAAAAGTTCTGATTGATAATTAACTATCACTAACCATCATATATCACCATATATAACTATTTATCATTAGATACTTATAATAGAAATAATTTATTTAACATCCCGAAGTCCAAAAATACAGTGAATACAGAATATTACAATAATAATTAATAACCATTATAACTTAAATACCTATACAAATGAAAGCAGTAAAAACTAAAAGCAGCCACAGCAAGACGTGTGCTTCAATCCTTAGTAAAAAAATATTTGAAAGTTATATCAAGACCCTTTACATGATTTCCTATTTTCAAAGTTTTTGGACTTATTTTGTTTTAATTGATTTGGGTGTATACAATATAAAAATGCAATTTGAATACATTTATTTAGATTAAGTGAAAATTCATCTCACAACACCTATGCAAGTTATCTTATTCCAGTAGTAAATTCAAACAGTCATCATGAACACAATTACTGAATATAGTTGTAAAATAATTTCCAAATAAAAACTACAATGACTACTACTGGAATCTGTATAATTGAAAAATAATATTTTATTAAAGAAGAAAATTGACCATCTGAAGGGGCATTATATATTTTATTTTATTGTCATAATTAATCTTTAGTTTCTTTATCTGTTTGTCTCTTACTTATATTTTCTTTGACATCAACAATGAATATATTTTTTTTTTCTGTCATAGATACTATGCGAAACAAACATTTCAGCAACTTTTATCAGATATCAACGCTTAAATAAGTATGATAATATTATACACGGTACACTCCATATACTTTATTGTTAAATTTTTAAATATGTTCCGTCCAAAGTGTAACTTATGAGATTTTATATATTTTATTATTTACAGTTAAAATGTTTGAATGTTTATATTTTATAACTTAGCATTAAGATTTAAGACAATATTATTTTATACTAATATTATTGTAAATAATTGTATGATATATTCTAAACAAAAGATATATTGTGTATTTATTTTATATTTGTTATTTTCTCTCATTGTACATGAGAGTCAAACTATAACGAACCTGAATAAAATATTGCCATAAGCATTTGACAGCGAACTGTTTTTATATACTTATTGCATTTGGCAATTCCTATTTTTTGTTGTTAACTTTAAAAATAGAGTAAACCAAACTGTCATTAAACTTTAAGATATGAGCATTATCTATGTTTTCTTGTTAGTTTTTGCAATATTTTGGATAAACCGAGTTATGAACATTTTCAATCATTAATATTTTACATGCGCATGAGGCTAATATTTGAATATTTTATATTTTGAAACTACAAGCCTACCAAAAATATATTCATGGCCCACAGTTTGGGAACCTCTTAGCTTAACTACGTCAATGACGGTAAAAAAAAATTATATGAAAGTCCATTAAGAACTATATTAATTTATTAACATACAAATATCCAACAGAAAATACACTTAATTCTCATTATGCTTCATACCATTTTTTCAATGTTTCCGGGGCCGAAATTTTATTTTTATATTTGTTTACTAGATTTGAAAATGATGCATCATTTTTTTTAGTATTCTTCTTTTTGCTCTTCACCTATAATACAAAATATTAATAATATAACTCATTTTTGTTCTATTAAATTATATAATGAACATACTTTTGGTTCTCTCTTCTTCTCATTTCTGATGGCTAAATCGCGTTTCTTTTTCATTGTAATTTTCTTCTTGGTTTTGACATTTTTCTGGTGAGCTTCTGACTGAATCTTCAGCTTGAACTTTGATCGAATTGCCATGTGTCCCTGATTAAATTTGTAATTTATAAAAGATAATATATTGAAAATTGTTAAATAAAATGTTTAGCCATTACGATTAAATATATTCCGTTTAAATTATTACTTATAGTTTTTTTATATTACCTCTTTAGCTGTTATACCAGTATATTCAGGGAGTTCTGCTGTTTTTTTTTTCGATAATGCTGTACTTCTATTGTTTCTGTTATTATTTTCTGCACTAAATTTTTTATTATTTTTATTGTTATCTGTATTAAATTTTTTATTTTTATTTTCAGCAGTCGATGAAGTACTTGATTGCTGTTTTTTAAATAATGGATTGCTAGTTTTACTTTTATCTATTCTCCGTTGTCTGGCTTGTAAAACTAGCCTATTTTCAATAGAAAATGCTACTATTGGTCTCTATAATCAAAATATCAATTAATAATCTCCATACAGATGTATAAAATAATATCTAAAATTCTTACTTTATTCGAATTGAAAATCTTTGGGTTGTTATTGATAGATCTAAGAGCCTTCAAAGCATCTTCATGTTGCTTGAATGTTACAAAAGCATATTCTTTTGAAATTGGTACTCCATTGGGATCAACTTGTTTTAAATTTCTCATTACAACTACCTTAAATAGAATAATAGAGCAATATTATAAGCAATAGTATTTTTTAATTTAACAGTAAGTACTACATTGAAAAACTTTGTTGAAATACTAATTATTACTATTTACTATTAAGTGTTCACTTAAAGACCAGTGCCGCAATCAGCAGGGGTGTACCACACCCTCAAAAAGGACCCATTATAATATTTAGGGGTCACAAAATTCAACTCACACCTTGGCCCATCCACCTTAAGTTGCGGCACTGTTAAAGACTAGACAACATTTAAAAAAAACAATAAAAACCTCATGTCATGAAATAAACATTTTAATCAGATGAGTAATTCGAGGGGCACTGACAATCAATTACCCCATGCTAGAATTTATAGGTGATTACATTTTTGGTGTCAGTCAATTACAGCACAATTAGATTGGTAGTCAATAGTCAGTTTATAGCCAATAGCCTATAATTTTGTTATAATTTTTGAGGAATACATGCCACTGTAGCAAAGCCTTTCACAAACACTATACTTTAAGAGGCAGTTGTTGATTGACTATTTTTAATAATAATTATGTTATTTAAATCAAGTACTGAGAATAAATAGATATAAATGCTATGTTCACTCACTTTTAATACAGCATTAGGACGAGTATATTTTGTAAATAAATCTTTTAAGGTTTTGTTATCCATGTTTGCTGGCAAGTTGTGGATAATAAGTCGATTACGAGCCACAAACATGTTTAAATTTTTTAGAACTTGAGATTTCCATTGTTCCAACTCAAGTCTCTTGTTCATATCATGAACAGATACACCATTTGCAGCTGCTGTACCGACAATTATGACTAGAACATAATTCCAAGTATTACATTTCATTAGTTGTATAACAGAATAATAATATATGTTTACATCAGATATATTAATATTTGATTGAATGAAAAATGTATTAATTTAATGGACCAATCATGGGAAACAGGTGAACGCTTGCAGAGAATTAGCTCAGTGCAAAATACTTTCTTTGTCTATGTAATCCGTTAGAAGCTTTGTCCTTACACCCCCAAACATTATAGATTTATATAAAAACACACCAATGATCAGCGCTGGATTTAACGGAAGGCATAATGGACAATGTTTATGTCCATATCAATGATTAGTATAATTAAACAAAGTATTAAAACATAACTTATTATGGTTGATTAAAAATTATATTAGTCGTTAATTTATAAATCACAAAATAAACACAGTCATGGTATCAAATAAAAAATATTTAAACTACTCAAGCTCAATCGCTACGTAGAAAGTAGATAATAATAATCATATCATATCACAATTTTCTAATTTACTATGATGTCAATATTAGTAAAATTAAGATCCTAGCAATGTTACTTCGGTCAATTTCATGATTCTATCAAAGTTATTATCAAATTGTGAGTTTTTCAACATTTTACAATTTTGACAATAATTATGGTCATAAATTAACATCAAAGTAATTTTTATATTTTATTATTTATTTGAATAGACCAAGTTATCAAAAAATATTTTTTCCTCCCTGGTCTCTCTGGTGTACCACTAAATCATGTTTAAAGTACCATTAGTTCACTATTGATTCGTTTAATGTTTAATGTTTAATGTCTGTTCATTCAACTAGGCATAAAGCCTATAAAAAAATATACCCATACCTCCTTCTTTGATTAAATACAAATTTCTGTTATCCTTATGAGTAACTTTGTCATCTTTATTTTTATCTAGAACTTCTTTATCGATTGCCATTTGAGGTTCCATTGTAGATCCATTGAGAGTTAGCTCTTCAGGAGAACTAGACATACAAGCTTCTACGCTGCTAGAATCCTAAGTCATAAATTTAAATAAATATTACTACTATTTTTATTACAATTTATATGTTCATAACTAATGCATTAATTATAACCATTTTGATATAACAAATAATCTTTACAAACCTATGTACTTGCATAATTGGTTTGTTCCACATGTATATTAAGACTAAACTGTTCTTATAAAAAGATATAATTAATGGTAATATTTACCCTGAATTTAACAAATGCTGTTCCTTTAGAATGTTCTGTCAAACGATCCACGCAAACAAGAGCATAATAAATTGGTCCAAATCGTTCTTTAACAAATCGCTTCAGTTCATCATTGTTAACACTAAATGAAACATTCTTAAAAAAAACTGTTAAACCTTCTTTAACATCATGAGATTTAAAACGTTTTTTGTTTGATGTAGAAATTATAGACTCATTGTCATCAGTGTTTTCTCTTTTTCGTTTAACATCATTTCTAAAATGATATATATCAAATGTATTATTTGCTATTTGTTTGATAATTTTGTATAAATGTAGAACTCACTCAATATCTGTAGTCTCAAAATCTACCAAATTGTCATCTTCGTCTTTTATTGTGTCAAGAGTAAGATAATCTTCAGCAGTTTTTGAAGGTTTTTCTATATTGTCTTGATCATTAGATAAATCTTCTTTAATTTCTTCTTGATCTTCAACATATTCTTCTTTGACAGATATATTTTCTTCCTTTTCTTTAGTAGTATGAATAGTTTCATACTTATTTTTTGGTATAGCCCAATCAACAACAATAGATCGACCTTTGAATATTTTACAATATAAGGTAATTAATAATAATACCTTTTAGGTGTAAACATTTATATATTTAAACATAAGATTAGAAATGAAATAAAGGATTATCAGTGAATTAATTACGGAGAAATTGGGGGACCGCGTGGTCGCCAGACTAAGGCATCAGTAGCAACACGCACAATCGCCGGTTCGAACCTCGGTCAGGGGTGGCACATTTCTCTGGGCAGACACCTGTCTCAAGAGAGGCCGCCATCCATCGACCAGGCATAGCAGAAACTTATGGGTGCCCAATCAAAATTATGCCAAACACAAACGGATTAAACCCTAGCACCAAGGCCATAGCCATAGGGGGGGGGGAGGGTCCAGGGTTCCCCCCTCCCAATTTTTTTGTTTGAAATAAGATTTAATTATTTTTTAAATAAAGATTAATTTAATTTAAATGATAATTTTATATTTTATTATATAATATAACATATTTATACTATAACCCCCCTCCCCCCCCAAATATTTTTCTGGCTACGGTCTTGCCTAGCACAATCACAATGACCCTACAAACAGCTAATCGCCGAGCTTAGAGATCAATAAAAAAAAAACACGGAGAAAACTTTTATAAGTTTTGAAAACATTTGAAATAATGTTAACTTTTACCTTTTGGTTATACAAATACCTTTTAAATATACATAAATACAGAATTCATAACAAACTATATACTCACCACCAAAGTCTTTGCCACTAGTGTGGGCAATCGCTTTAGCAGCATTTTGTTTAACAATGAATTGTACAAAACCACAACCAATAAGCTTTCCATCGGGTTTTCGTAGAAGTTTAATATCATTTATTTCACCAAACTTGGAGAAATGTTCTTTTAATTGCTCTTCATCCGTCTATAAACATAATAAAACAGTTATATACCTATTTCTGTTCAGTTATTACGCTTCAATATTTACATAAATTAATATAATATTATAATTTCACATGACTACAGGCAGAAATAATTTCATTGATCTTAAACTCACTGTAAACGGAAGATTTCGAATAATGAGTCTTCCACGGCGATTGTTTGGACATTTCGGTGCTTTGTTTTTGGCAAAAAATATTTTATCCTTCATGATTCTGTCTAGCTATTGACGAAATATCGGTTCGTTTGCTGCCTGCTGACCACTTTTCGCATTCAAATTTCGAGTATTAGTTGTCACACTCGTCATCGGCACATCGCAATTCGTAGGTAAGAGTTATCGCACGAGTGCACGACGACGCCGCACGTGTTGACATATTATCTGACTTTTGCAACTTTTTGAGATAATGCTTATCTTCCCGTAACCAGCAGCGTAACCACGGTCTTAGAATATATCTTCTTAGACCATGATCATAACCATGAGAAAATTCTGTAGCGGAAAACGTAGGAAACGTTTGATAACGGAGAAATTCAGAATACGATTAAGATATACCAAATTTCCAATTTACTTTATTTTTTTGTTTTTTTCTGTTGTTTTTGAAAACAACTGCAAATTTAAATGTTGACTTCCCGAATGCACGAACTAGATTCACTTTCCTACCAAAAAAGTTGCTGTTGAAGAAGATCAAAGCACTCCTACTGCAAAAAACCATGATGACATTCACAAAAAAAAAAAAATAAATATAAAAACACACATCATTGTAAAATCCAAGAATTCATTTCTCCGCTCGGAATCTAAAATGCAAACTGCAAGCAATTGTATATTTTGCTAATGAGTAATGACCTACAAATGCGTAACAAGTAACAACGCTCATAAAAGTATTAAAGTTAATAATCAATTTGAAATATTAAGTATAATTAAAATACTTAAAAAGTGGAAAATATAAAAATGGAGTAATGACAAATAAGCAACTCGTAATTTTGCTCTCAATTGTTAAGTAATAATGCCCTGAAACTTTAAAAAAATAACTTTTAAAGTCACAAAAATTACCCAAAACTGAAATTAATGCTAACAAGTTAGTTATGTAGATTCGTATGTTATTGAAATACATTTTAAGAGGAGGCCACACCCGCATGTGTTGCCTCCGTCTTAAGCATCGGAAAGCATCGACCATCATGTTCCAAAAAAGATGCAAAAGTCATCAACTTCCAGGTTTATTATACTTATTGATTAGGTATTAATGTATTATTCAAATTTTGTTATACTGTAATAGCTGACTGCTGACATCATGACAATATATATTAGTTATTACTCATATTGCCCTATTGCTTTCTAGTTTATTATTTTGCAAATTTCAATTCTTGCTGTGAAAAAAACCTACGAAATACCAATAGGTAACAAAAAAACCATCTATATCTTATTTCTGTAAGTTTTCAACAGGCTATAGTCTTTGAGTTCGATAGCGCAAGCAGCTGTCCCGTCTACTAGTTAAAACGCGCTCCATCGGGAATTTCCCAAATTTCAGATGGCTTAATCCGTCCCTGACTACACTCGACAAAATACGCTAGTACTCTAGTAGGTACCTACAATTAATGAATAAATAAAAAGTATTAAAAACTGCAAAAGTGCACTTAAAACTTCAATGGTTGCATTAAAAATATTTTTGGAACCTGGCGGCTGTTTTTATCATTTGTGTCAATTGATACGATAGAAAACTAGAAAAGTTTAGAAATTTGATTTACTTTTTATTGAAAATTTACAAAGAAAATAGTAATTGTGGAAAACATTGCTTCTCAGGTACTTAGGTATTTAGTTTATAGCTTTCCAACCACTGGATAAAGTGAATCTACGTAAATCATACTGGATTGGACAAAATAGAATGTCTAAAACACATTAAATGCTTCAAGATATCTCAAATGCAAAATACCTTAACATTTATTTTGATTCTTATTGCGTGAATACCAAATGGTACCTACATAGATAAGTAGGTTCTATTTTGCATTTTCGAAAAATGACACCTATATTTTCACTTTCCTCGTGGAATATTCATAATACAATTCTAGTAGGATGCCACGGAACGAGTAATATAACTGAAGGGCGAAATAATTAATTTTTTCAAAACTCCGTGGACATAAGCAAACTATTCGAAATTTGAGAATTAATTAAAAAAATTTAATTGGAAATTTCAGCAGATGAAGCAAAATTAGTTATAGATACTGTAGGAGATTCGAGTAATAGAAAAAAAGTGGCACAAACTACTTACAGTAGAAAAACATCAACAAAATGTATGTATAGTGTATACTGTATACAATATATCTTTTATATTAGATTTATAACATCCGTATAAGTTATACGTTATAAGTTATAACTCATAACATAAGAAAGAGAATAAAGAGATGTAACTAAAATATTATACGGTAAATTGTATTATTATAATACTTTTATACTAATGTATTTATTATTATTATTTTTTGACTTGGTTTTTATTCATTCATTTTAATTATTATATTTTATTTTATTAACTTAATTTATTACTAGTTTTAAACTTTTTCCTGGTGAGGGACCTCTTTTACCGGGACTTCTTTTTTACTTTGTTATTTTTAATAAATAATATTGCATGCGTAAATCATCAAATTTAATGCCAGGAGTATTTACTGCGCCGGTGTAGGCTTTTCTTGTGTTTTAGTCTTAAAGTATTTTGTATTATGAGTATTTTAAAATTGTTAATTGTTTCTACATATTATTATAGTAATTATGATTTATGGAAGACAGTAGCAGTTTGTATAGAAGTATTCAAGTATAAGGTTTAGTGGTTTACGTTAGCCCATTCAGTGGCGGCCTAAGCACCCATTACTTCGTCGGCTACATGAAAAAGGGGCTTCCGTTTGGGAACAATTAAGAATACACGATGTCTTGTACATATTTTTTTAATGAATTTGAAGAGGGTCCAGTCGGCGATCGCCATCACGCCGACCTGATCAGTCCGCCAATGTCCTTGATTAGTAATTACTAATTAGTAAATAGTAATTAGCATTCTACGAATCGTCACAGAAACATTGATATTATAAATCTGTGATTATCGTTAACCGGTGTTGGTGACCGTGATAAGCCGATAGCAGATTTGAAACCTTTGACCGGGTAAAGTATACAATAAATATCAGACAATATTAAATGTAAATACCGTCGTTTATGGCATTTGTGAGTATTTGACCACACAATACACGTTCAATATTCATATTCTATTTATCTACTCTACTTCTTCTACCACCCATTTCACATTTGACTAATAATTATTATAATTTATTTTATTTTGAAATATAAATTCCAATCGTCGAATGCCAATCGGTTCACCGACTGCGTGACTGGCTGGCGGGTGTTGGTGTGGTGCAGTACTGCAGTTGCATCCCTCAATTATCTGGTTCCGAATTATTGCGGCATCCGGATTCCGGGCATTGTCATTCGTCTGCGAATTAACTCAAATCGCAATAATATTATGATATCATGTCGTGCTCTTCACGTTTTGGCACGACGATCGATGACGCTGAACGCGGCTGACTAGCGGCTCGCCGCTGTGTTTGTTTGTTGTCGTGCGACGGCGATTTATTATCAGCCGCAAAGAGGGATGACGACCGTCCCGAAAATCAAATAACAGACTAACATAACTATTTTAGGGAAATAACCCATCGTTGTGAGTAAACTTGAGACTGCCGGGCGTCGGCGTGTGCCGTATACTTGGGTGCGCGCTAGGTATAGTACGATGTTTAACAATATTAATCACGTAGTGCCGTAGTAGTCACTAGTTTGATGTTACCAAAAAACAACTAACAGTATTTAGACGTAGCTAGGTCGCTTGGGGCCGGATTAACTATTGAACATAGTGCCTACGACCTAAGACATATTATTGCTGCCCGCGTGCTCATACATGAAATAAAACAAATCACAATATTAAATTTGGTACATCAAACAAATAAATTGTAGACATTTGTTAATTTTTAAGAAATTTTCAAATTAAATGGCTATCATAAAATTTTAACCAACACAAACGACTCAATAATTGTTTTGTTCCGGTCCCGAAGTACTTAGGGCCTATAGGCTATAGCCTACAAATGGTTTAATCCGGCACTGTGGATGTCGATTGTAGAATGTTTGTGGTTGACGTTGATAGTTTAAACTAAGAGCGTTTGTCGTTAGTACATAGACTTAGTCTGCTATAATTGTTCTAAGCAGAATCTAGAATATTATTTTCACTTTGTATAGTGGTATCATAATGATTGTGTTAATGTGTCATCGTTGTTGTAGCTTAACTTGGAATCATGGTGGAAGACAAAATCCTGTACACTTTCCGGGGGTGGTTGGCATTTGTGGCTTTCATGGACCTAGGAGTAACGTTTCGTTCGTTTTTCGAGAACAAATGTATCATTGGAACACAGACCAATTTACAGGCCGATGAACACTTTATACATGGTATCTAAGATAGTGTTTACATCTGACTAACAGTGTATTAAATCTGGAACTATCAGCAATGTCATTTGAAATTTAGTTATTTTTATTAAGTTTAGGTATATTGGGCAAACTAAATAAAAGGTTTGGTACAGTAGGGAGTAGCTAGTCTAATATTTACTATGATGTAATTTCCATTAATAACAGTTGATGGTTTAGAGCTTACAAAAATATAAAATGCAATAGGCACTGATTACTGATTTAGAGATCAATCAGAGATAGTAAAAAGCTTTAACTGTTATTTTATTGTTAATTATTATTAAATACAAAACAATGTAATTGGACTTGTCTTGTATTTAATATAAATAAATAACTAAATTTTCATTAAGGTATTTCTACTCTAAAATATTTATAATTAAATTGAACTGGAACTGATAATAAACTGTAGTCATAAATTATTTACAAAAATAAAATGAGATCATGTGAAATCAACTCAATAAATAAGAAAAATTGTAATTTATAAAAACATTTTAATTTATAAAAACATTTTAATTTCATATAAATAAATAGGTCAATAGAACAAATTATAAATATTGAATATACATGGAAAACAATTGAACAGTAGTGGCTTATTATTCTTTAAAAACTAACAACGGCTGGAATCATTTTTGGTCGATATGGTTTTGAACTTGAAATTTTATATTATATCTATTATGATCTCAAGGATATCATTACCAATGTTTAAATAGGTTAATACTTGTCCCAGAAATTATGTTTATTTTCGATTATAGTCAATTAACAATTGTAGCTTTAAATTTAAAATGTTTGCTAGATGGAATATTAATCTAATTTTTCGTTAAAATTATTCACAGAGGAATTAACTTTACCAAGAGTGCTGGGTATGTTTTCACTTCTTAAAGCTCTATGTTTGATACATTGCTCGTTATTTATTCACTATAAGCCGTAAGTACCTAAAAATAGTTATTTTGTACTTAGTACTGAGTGAATCATTTTTTTTTTCTAACTTTTATAATTCAATATGTTTTTTAGTATTTAATATTTTATATAATTAATTTGTAGAATGGTCAGTATTGGTGCTATGTCTATGGTTTTATCCATTGTTTTGTATCTCAGTGAAGCAATTCATTACCGTTCAACTACTTTAAATTTCTTTATTGTTTTTCCAAGCATTTTAAATGGTAAAGTAATACTTTTGTAATAGAATATTGAATAACAAATCACTCAAATATATTTTTTAAATTTTCAAAGGTTTAACACTGATTGGTTTATACTTAATTGTACGCAAGATTAATAAGCCACCATCTGAATGTGTTGAAGAAAATGTTGAAATGTTAATGAGTAAACTCAAATATCAAAAAAGTAAAAAATATATTTGTAAAAAAAAATAGGTCTATGATATAGAAAACAAGAAGAACCATTCAAGATTTGTTTTTCAATTTTATAAATTTGTAAAATATTGAGCTTTCCTAGTTTTTTTAATTGTACTTAATTAATTATATTTGTATTTAATTGAATACATTTGTATTTCAGTTGGTAATTAGTTATGAACCAATACATATTTATGATTTTTCATGATGTTGTTTTTAACTCAGTTAGTTTTCGCTAAAACATAATTTGACAAACAACCCACTAATTTTAGACTTTGAAAACAAAAATAATTAAATAATTATTATTTGTGTAATAGTCAATTCCAAATAAAAAAAATTTAATTTATATATATTTTTTGTATGTAATTAAATTGTTTATTTTCTTATGCCGATTGTTTCTGAGTACTGCCTGCTTTGTTTTGAGCAATAACAAATTCTGGATAATCTATAAAACCATCAAAATCTGTGTCATCCATAGTTAATATAGGATCAATTAACTGCATTAATTCTTCATCTGTAAATATCTTTTCTTGGGGAGGTGCTCCACCCGCTGCGGGATCATGACCACCTTGAACTAAAATTAAAACATTTCAATATTTAATGTATTAAAATTGAAAGAACACTGAGTAGAATGTACAATGTGAATTTTCATCAGTGTTCATTTTAAAAAGTATTACATAATTTGTTTAAACAATTTTTGGAAAATCAAGAAAGTGTGTGTCTAATGTTAGAAATTCAAACATTTTATATCAATTTGTCAATTGTACATTGAATTGTTGATAGCTTACATTCTGAATTTATAATCTCTGAAGCAGAATACTTTCCTAAAAATATTTTAGTACAAATAATTAATAATTTTACTCGCTAATTATCATTAAAATTTTAGGTGAGTATTTTCTAAGTCAAGTTTAGAAGAATGGAATGAAATTTAGTTTTTGAGTTTAACTTCTCTGAGGATTAAAATCTGAAAACTTCAATCTTGAGAAAAATTGTCAGTCAATTCAAATCAGAATTATTCTTATCTTTTTGTAAACCAATCAATATGCTGAGATAAAAATAAGTCTAAATTCCCATTGTGCATATTTCAGGAAAAATTTTAAATCACCATTTCCAAAACCCTTAATAAGTTATAAATTACCATGCCAATGTATAAGTGACTTGATAAGTTCACATCCATCTAATTTATTATTGTTATCTGCATCATGCATTTTGAAATAATGGAATTGTAATTCTTGTTCAGACATTTTACTTGTGTCTAATGTTGGTAGATCCAAATGTTTTTTTATGTGCCTAAAATAACAATAAAATAAAGTAGTATGTTGAAAAAAAGTTACAAGTATATCAGTAAGTACAATTATTCTATTTGTAAAAGATTTTAAATTATAATTACTCGCTTTCTTCTGCTAAGTTTGGATTATGTAACACTTGTTGTGCATGAGGATGATGTCCTTGGGAACCATGGCCATGACTCTAAATATTAATAAGTAATAAGTATCATAGCAAATTATTGAACAAAGTTGTATCCTATATATAAAAGAATCATTCCTTGTAGATACAGTCCTAACCACAATTTATATAACTCATAAAAGTAAGAGTGTTACTTTTCCTACTTATACCTATATTTATATGACACTCTAGGTTTCATTTGTGTAATTACATTATAAATGGATTTTATGAAATACAATTCCATTCAGTATGATTCATTTAAATATTTCATTGTGTAAATTAGGTGCCTACCGGTGGTTGCTGTTGTTGTTGTTGTTGTTGTTGTTGTTGTGGTTGATGTGGCTGCTGCTGAGGTGATGGTGGTGGCGGCGGTTGCTGTTGGTAAGGTAATTGTTGAGGAACATTTTGTTGGGGAGGTAAATGTTGAATAGGTACCTGGAAGAAAACAATTAATCAAACAATATAATATGATGTACAATGCATTTACTTGCAAATATTTTATTCATTTATTTACTTGCTGCTGCTGTTGTTGATACAGCTGCGGGTTGACACCCGGCGGTGCTGGTGCATATTGTGCCAATGATTTATGACACAAGACTACAAGAATAGGAAAAGTAACTAAAAGCATCTTGGAAATCATTTTTAGTAGAAACACTCATGTACACTTTTTAACGCTGAATCCATACAATTTAAATAACGAATGTGTTATGACTTATGAGTATAATAATTCGAGTTATTTGTTTATGTACCTGAAATGTGTAGTCGTCTTTAGTCAGCAACTTATATAATTTTATCTAACAATATCATTTTGAGCCATGTCACAACATTACAATCAGACTTTATTATAGATAATTTCACTCGGACCGCCAGACGTCATTATCAATAGCTGAAAGATGTCCCCACATCACCATTCACCACGTCGTCAAGTCGCTTGTTTCCATGTGATATCTACATAAATTTTACACTATTTTCTCCCGGCGATGATTTCCTTTCCCTACTCTTTCCGGGCTCTTATCACTAGCTGATGAGTGATAAACAAAACACATGTTCGTTATCATTGTTGTGTAATTTGGTCTTCTAAATATAGTACTAATAAATAGTAAATAGAACTGATACCTACATGATTAAAGAACTGTACAATGACAATGACAGTGAATGAAATATGAATATAATCTCATCATAGTTGTAGTCTGAAGATCTCTATGAGCCATAGTTATTGTTGGCTCTATGAAGTGTGAAGTATGATTCTTTTGACTTACAGCAGTTGTGAGTTGAGCAGTAGTAGAAGTCTGTAGTCAATATTGAGTTATGTTTCAAGTGTTCCCTTGAATTACAATTTACAAACAACATGTTTCGTTTCACTTCATAATATTTGGATTGTAATTCGTCTATAATGTGATATAATAATAAGTTTTGAGGACATTGTATGTTTTTTAATCATTGTTGTTTGTTTTGCAAACCATTGACACGTTTATGCGATGGGATTATTTGACTTCACTAATTCCTTCCGGGCTATAATTTATAGTCCCAATTTTCAACAATGGATATCGTCTTCTTACTCTTTCATGCTGTTAACAGAAGTAAGTATCATACTCTATCATTCATCATGTTTTGTTTAAGCATACCATTATTAAAAAAAAGCAATATGATAACATAATATATTTTAATAATTGCCCCTCTCGTGTAATACATTACTTAGCAGTTAATTATTGATGAAAATCACAAAGAAATACATTTTTGCAATTATGATAATTGTTGCACTAGTTGATAATGCAATTCATAACACTTGTCTAAAATTACATGTTGTGTCACTTTTTATGATTTTAAATTAAAGGTATTAGGCACAACTACTTATAGATATTTAAAAAACTATTTTTCTCTCAAAGTTTTATATTAAATATTTAAATATGATTTAACATTATAGTTATAAGTAGAGTGAACTTTTAAAAATGAAATGTTGGTAAACAATTATTATTTTAATATTATTCTTATTAATTAGTTGAAGAAACACTTGAATAATTTTACCATTTTTAATGAGTATGCTAATAAATAACTTGTTTACAACCATATTATAATTTTGACCCATATTTCTCATTTAATTTATAACAAAGTCATACATTGACACATGCCATCAGTTTTATGAGCTTAAAAATACTTGACTTTGATTTGTACCTTTGAACTATCCTGATTTGAATAGCCTTTATCTAATATATCAATTGTTTAAATTCAAAATGAGGCACTTGACAGTTTTAATACTTTTCAAGACAGAAAAATAGATTACATGTATCAAGTACTCAGAAATGTAATGAGAATATAGTCTTATTCCAAAAATAAAAAAGCAGGAATACAAACCCACTTGTATAGTGTGTAAAATAAAAGCCCTTCAACCTGTAGATAGGTACTCTTATATATAAATATTTTTTTTTTCTTTACAATTTAGTGTTATACCTTTAAGTAGACATTTTTTATTATTAATCCAAAACCCGTCAACTATATGGTTATACTTTTGGTCATTAGCTGGCAAGTAGACCTAACAAAATAGTATAAAGATTTAGCATAGAATGTAAATAACTTTATGCCTAATTATTTTGTTTTATTTTTTTTTTTTTTTAAGAACATGTTGATAATAGTTGTATGCATAATAGCATCAATGTTATTGAGATTTGCCTTCTACAAATGGAAATCAAAATGTAAGTTATTAACTTAAAAAAATAACAACTAATGAATAATTTAACCTATAATTATTTGTTTATACATGTATATATTTAGTTCATGTGATTCGAGGAAGTGACATCTGTGCTGTTCCGAAAACAAGGTTTCGAAAACGTGATAGAGTTTTATTCTATGGCAGGAAAATGTTGAGAAAGGTATTTGATTTATACTTATAATTATGGCTAAAGTAAATTTAATTCATGGAACAAATTGTTATTATTTGCAGTTTCAAACTGTTCAAAGTGTGTTTGTACAATTTTTATTAAAAATACTTGAATTTCCTTTTTCCAACAATAGTTTTACCTATGCATGTTTATTATTTAATTTACATATGACTTTGTTTTAGGTGAAAAGTATATCTGGACAAGTACACGGCCAGGGGAAAAAAAGAAAATTAGTCATCAAATTTGCTAGGCGTTTACTACAAATGAGGAAAGAAACATTACCTCAGAGATTAAATGTATGTTTTATTTTTTATTTACTCTGTTATATTAAATGCAACTTAAAATTAAGATGTAGTAGGTATTACATGGATTTACAAAATTGAAAATAACTAAATATTTTTTCAAGATTTTAAAATTGTATATTTTGATGTACAATTTCAATTGTTTTTTGTGTTATAGGTATTGGAACCGCCTGCTGAGTATTTAGAGGAAGAACTAATAACCAAAGACGGGCAAAATGTTCCTCCTGATGCTTTTTATATGCTACAAAGTATTCGGTAAATTTATTTTTTTTTATTATTTTTTAACATTTAATGCGCTTAAACCACTATACTATCTAGATATTTTTTTTGATAGTTATATATTTCTATTATTTTTTTTTCATTATTATTTTATTATTACAGAGTTTTTGGTCACTTTGAAAAACCCGTATTTTTAAGACTCTGTCGTCATACTGAAATATTAAATGTACATGCTGGATCATATTTGTTTCAAGTTGGTGATCCAGATGAAAATGTATTTATTGTCCAAAGTGGACTTATTAGTGTAAATATCACTTCAATTGATGGCAGTATTATGCCTCTGAAGTTAGTAAAAACGGGAGATTGTGTTACATCATTATTAAGTTTTACTGATGTTCTCACTGTAAGTAACAGTATTAAATATACAATCTCCAGAGAGAACAGACCCAAGCATTGACTTAAACTTGTTAATCTTGTGCATTTCCCATTTTGAACAGTGGTGTAAATAGGATTTTTGTAATGGAGGTGTAACTTATATATATATTGTACTAAATTCATATGATCTATAACTTTGATTTTAATTTACAAAAATATTTATTTATTATGGCTGTTATGGTCAATGGATGATATTATTAATAACTGATTATAAAATAAAATGAATCATAATTTGTTTTTAACATTTCCATACATAAGAGTCTTGGCATTAAATAAACAGATAAAGCTGCTATAGCTTTTTGTAAATGTTTTTTAACTCAATTAAAAAACCTCGGAAAACCACTAATAAATATTCCTTTAAAGTTTAATTTGTGTAATCATTTTATAAGACACAACTCAAGTGGGGTGTCTAACTACTATATACTCCTTTTAGATACACCACTGATACTTGGTAAGCTGAGCACTGTTCACCTAGTATCGGTGGAACCATATGAGGTCAAGAAACACTTTGTTTAACTCACATCATGCACAAAATGGGTCCGTTTTCCTATGAGGCTATGAGACAGTGTAACAAATTTCTTATTTAATTTGTATTGAATAAATCTTAGGGCCATAAAAAGAATTATAAAACTGTTAGTGCTCAAGCACTTGAAGATAGTACAATAGTAAGATTACCAGTTGCTGCATTTCAAGAAATCTTCCACGATGATCCAGGTTCATTAGTCCAAATAATCCAAGTGGTCATGGTCCGTTTACAGAGAGTTACATTTACAGCACTTCATCAATATTTGGGACTATCTACTGAGTTGGTACAAAATGTAAGGATTGATCATGGTTAAATTACATAAAAACTTAGATAATAGTCTTCAGTTTTAGATTCTGAGCGGAGCAATGAAAATATTGGTCTTACTTTTATAATTATATCCTAAATAGTTTATGATGTTGTCAAATTAATAATTATAGCACTCAAGTTGTGCATATTTAATATATTTGTGAATTGTTTCAATATTGATATGTGTATAACATTTAAAAAAAAAAAGAATATTTATGTTTTAGGGTTTAGATGAAAGAAAAATGAGTCCATTCATTTCAGCTACTAAAAATGAGTCTTCTATGTTTTTACAACAAGGTAGGTTTTAAAAAAACATTAATTGGATTTACAGATAAGGTGTTACATAACTATCTTTTATAAAATGGTATTTATCATTTTAATTTGTATAGAAACTTCTATAGGTGATAAAAAATTGGAGTCACTTTTAAATCAGCCTAAAACTGATCCAAAAACAGATCAAAAAGATTGGTATCTCAAAATTGCTAGAAAACTTTTTGTTAAGAAACTTCAACTTGATAATGAAGATTTATTGTTGGGAAAAGTGGAAATTCGCAAAATACCTACCAATACATATGTAATGCAAGAAGATTCTCATAAGGTATGAATCTTGTTATTCATTTATTCTTTAAACTCTATAAGGTTTTTGTCCAAAACAAAAGAGAGAGTATATGTTTACCGTAGAAATAATATACATTAAAAAAAACATTAAATATCAATAGTAACAAAAACAAATTCAATATTTAGAATTTAAAATATCTTTTGAAATAGGTATCTTGGCATTAAAAAAAATTGCAAATATTAGCGTACCTACCTGAATTTAACATAAATTCAATTTTCAATTTAACTCTTATTATTTTCCTTTATTATTTGCAATTGTAATTTAAGAATATCTATTAACTTAAATAATCTATAACTTAAATAATTTTTCAGGATGCTGCATTAGTTTTGTTGTTAAATGGATCGATGATAGTATCACAAAAAATGGACCCAGAAGGATTAACTGAAGCTCATATGTATTCAGTTAATCCTGGGGATATTGTCGGCGGATTAGCTGTATTAACTGGAGAACCTGGATTTCTGACGTTTAGAGCCAACCGTCCTAGTATAATTTCTATACTATCAAGAAATACTGTTTATGAGTAAGTAATATTGTTAATCACTGTGACATCATTAACTGT